TTTTTTTTTTTTGATTTTGTGCGGTTTGTTTTGGGAAGGAGGACGAAAATTTGGGAAGGAGGACGAAATTTTTTTTTTTGATATGGTGGGTGGTGGGCCGACGGGTTTGGAGCTTAATTTCCAATTTTCATATTTTTTTTTTTTTTAATAAAAGGGTAATTTAGTATTTTAGGGGTGCGGTACGTAGTACAATGGGTGCGATATTTAGCAATTCAGTTATTATATTCATGTGATCATTAGTTATTAATTTTTATTTCAATGGCCAAAAAATACTAAATAAATTAATTTATGTCAGGGCTTATTAATTTTTATTTTATCATTTAAAAAAGGAACAAAAGTTAAATGCCATGAAATTCCCTCGTACTTACTGTACGCATTATTCCTAATAAAATCTCATTTAATCTTTTTGCCCCTTAATTAAAGTAAACTTCGTCGGGATGAGTTATGTTACTCTTAAAATTGAGTTATGGAAAGTGGGTTTAACAAACATTTGTGTGATTGAGAGTACGACTAGATTTGATTTATTGGTTGAGGTGAGTTAAATATTAAAAAGCTGATTAAATGGATATTAGGATTGTATTTGATTATCTTAGTTAATATGAACTAAGAAGTAATAATTAAAATTGATTTGATGTAAAATTAATAATTATATATGATTGCTATACATTATGTGTGAAAAATTAATAATAATCTATCTATATATAAAAAGGTTGTTGGATAAATTATTTTTGGAAACTTTTTACCAAATAAATAATGTCATTGACATTTTATTTATAGAAAGCTTGAAAACAATAATTGTGTAGTTTATTATTGACGGAAAAATCACATTTTGAATTCAAAATTAATGGTGTAGAGATAATATTGTAACAATAATCTTTGGATAACTCATGATGGAAAACTTAATCACTTAAGAGTAATCATATTTTGAATTCAACGTAGCTTATTTATTCAAAACGTCCAAAATATGTCCACATCTTAACTAATTAATTTATTATCCAAGTAATTTTATCACTTAAAAGTAATCACCTAAAAATTTAAAATAAATCACAAATTACGGTGGATTGCTTAACAATTAATATATTAATCTTTTGTAGTTCATCACACCAGAAATTTTTATCATCAAATCACAATTGAAATTAATTTTATTCATTTAAATCACATTATATATAATGTCCGTTATCTCGAGCCGAAAAATTTGAGACCTGAGGATCGACCAGATATCGTCTGTAGGGTCTTTCGAGCAAAACTTAAGGAATTGGTTAGAGATTTTTGTCAAAAAGAAATATTTGGGAATGTTATAGCAGGTGAGCCATTTGATAATGTATATAATGGTGACAACATATTTATTAATCATTTACAAAAAATACATTTAACATTTATTTATTTTAAATAATAATATTAACTACAATTTTACTTTTGCAGTTATATACACGATCGAGTTTAAAAAACGTGGATTACCTCATGCCCATATACTGCTCTTCCTTGCTAAGGAGGCCAAATTCCCCGACCCATCGGACATAGATAGAATCATCTCTGCAGAGATACCAGATCAATCGTCTGATCCTCTATATTACGAGGCAGTAAAGGAGCATATGATCCATGGACCGTGTGGCCTTGTAAACAATATATTAAACCTGTATGGTGGATGGCAAATGTACTAAAATTTTTTCAAAGAAATTCGTTGAGTCCACAACTGTTGACGAAGATGGCTATCCACGGTATAGACGTCGTGACAATGGAACATCTCTTGAAAAGAATGGTATTGTGGTTCACAATGGATATGTCGTGCCTTATAATCGTCGTCTGCTTATGAAGTTTAGAGCGCATATTAATGTTGAGTGGTGCAATCAATCACGATCTATAAAATATCTTTTCAAATATGTCAACAAAGGTAATGATCGTGTGGCTGCATCATTCTATCAAACGTCTGCAGAAGGGGATATTGAAAGACCGTTGGATGAGATCAAAATGTATTACGATTGTCGGTACATATCTTGGTGTGAGGCGGCATGACAGTTATTGGGTTTTGAGTTGCAGTACAAAAAACCTCCCGTCCAGCATTTGAACTTCCACTAATTTGGAGAACAGAACCTTTTATTTGACGAAGATGCTAATCTTGAAAATGTTATCAATAAACCCACAGTTGATGAAAGCCAATTTCTTGCATGGTTCGAGGCAAACAAAATATATCCTAAGGCAAGGGAACTAACGTATGTTGAGGCACCATCAAAATTTGTGTAGAATACAACAATCAGACAATGGACACCTCGAAAAGATGAGGACCAACTCTCTGTAGAACGTTTACGATACGTACCTCCCGTCAGTGGAAATAATTACTACTTAAGATTATTGCTCACTGTTGTGCGTGGGGAAACATGTCATGAGGACTATATGAAAGTTGGTGAAGTCCAGTATCTAACGTATCTTGATGCTTGCTACGAGCGCAGTTTGTTGGAGGACGAACGAGAGTATATAGACGGCATTACAGAAGCAAGTCAATGGGCTTCTGCAGACTCCTTTAGACGCATGTTTGAATCTTTGTTGGTGTCCGGTTCATTTGGAAGGCCGGATGACGTTTCGAAAAAGTGTTGACAATGCATGTCAGATGACATTTTATACAGACATCGCCGACTACACAATAATGATGGTAATCAATTACTTTTTATAATATGTTTAATCATAATTTGTTTTTATCTTTATATATAATGTTTTAATCGTATTAATATTTTTTTATTCCTATTCATAAATAATTGGTTTATAGGTTTGGTGCTCACTGAAGAACAAATCAAAAACCTGGCCCTTGCTGAGATTGAGAATTTATTGAGACGACGTGGGTCAAGTCTTCGTGAATACTCAACTATGCCATTTTCGGATAGGGAGAACATCAATTCAAGTTCTAATCGTCTAATCTTGGATGAATTGAAATATGATCGAAAGGCCCATGCTGTTGAACATGATATGCTCCTTAAGAAAATGACAGCCGAAAAGAGGAGTGTCTACTTAAGAATTATGTCCGCTGTTGAATCCGACCAAGGAGGGCTCTTTTTTGTATATGGTTATGGTGGAACTGGGAAGACAAAGATCTGCTGGTTTGAGATCCAAAGGCGACATAGTCTTATGTGTCGCATCCAGCGGAATAGCATCGCTTTTGTTTCCACGTGGACGAACAACGCATTCTTGATTTGTTATACCATTGAATCCCCACCAGGAATCTACTTGCAACATCAATCAGTCAAACCCTCTAGCGGAATTGATAATGCGTGCTTCTCTAATAATATGGGAGAAGCACCAATGATGCACAAGCATTGTTTCGAAGCTGTACAGACATCGTTGCAGCGTATTATGGGAGTAATTGCTCCTTTGAACTTGAACAAACTGTTCGGTGGGAAGCCGGTTGTTTTTTGTGGAGATTTTCGACAAATCCTTCCTGTCATGCCAAAGGATAGCCGTCAGGACATAGTCAATGCAGCCATTAATGCTTCTGACATATAGAGGAGTTGTATTGTGCTTAGGCTTACGAAAAACATGCGCCTTCAGGGACTTGCTAATTCGGATGAACGTGATGAGCTTGCACGGTTTGCAGATTGGATAGTCAACATTGGAGATGGAACTATCGGAGGGTTGAATGATGGATGTGCACCTATAAACATACCCGAGGACATTTTACTTCAGTCATCCGATGATCCTATTGCTCAAATCGTTGAAAGCACATATCCAATGTATAAAGAGGCACCCGACGATCCAAGTTATTTGAAGGATATGGCTATATTAGCGCCGACGTTGGATGTGGTCAAGTCTATGAATGAGTACATGATATCATTGAATTTGCTGGATGGTCGTATGTACTTGAGCTCTGACAGTACGTGCAAATCGGATTCTAATAATGATTTTTTGTCTGATCTCCATACGCCTGAGTTTTTGATAGTATCAAGTGTTCCGGAATACCGAACCATGAGTTGTATTTGAAGATTGAAACCCCAGTCATGTTGTTGCGGAACATGGATCCTTCTATAGGTTTGTGTAATAGGACACGATTGGTTGTGACAAAGCTATCGACTCACGTTCTTGGGTGTAAGATACTCAAAAGAGATCATGCTGGTGATAAGGTGTTGATTCAACTAATGGCCATAACTCCTTCTGATGTTTTTCCTTTCAAGTTCCAGCGGTGACAGTTTTCCATTAAGGTTTTTTACGCCATAACTGTAAACAAGAGCCAGAGACAATCCTTATCTAATGTTGGCTTATTTCTTAAGAAACCAGTGTTCAGTCATGACCAATTATATGTTGCTGTCTCACGTGTCACTAACCGAAAAGGTTTGAAAATTTTAATTTGTGGCGAAGATGACATGTCAAAGAATCAAACCAATAATGTTGTATATAGGGAAGTATTATATAGTGAAGTATTCAATAATATATGATCTTTTCAGTTAAATTATATGTTTATATGTCTATTATTATGATTATGATCATTGCATTATTACACAAATTATATACAAAATTGTCTTTTAAAAAGCGTCTAGATAATAATATCTCCATGCATCACACAGGTGATTACTAGTTTTAAGTTAATAAAATAGCTTATAATTTTAAAAATGGTAATAAAATAGATCACATGTATTACTCTTAACCACCAAAAGTTGGTATGAAACAGTAAAAAATTATATACTTACGAAAACTCTGCATTTATGTAATGAAGAAAGGAAATTAAAATTTTGATATTAATTATCTAAATGACATGAGTTAGTGGTGAGTGGGTGAGGATGAGAAGCGGATAGACGAAGGAATAAATCAATCCTCCAAATTAAAAATATTTATATAAATAATTTTTTTAGCAACTTGCAAAAAATATGAACTTAAAAAAAAATTAAAAAATAAGTTCATCGAAAGCCATCCTAAGATCTGCATCTCCACTACGTACATATAAATTCATCGTCTTCGGATGAAAATTTCACAGTACGTAACACTGCTACAGCTCGTTGCTTCGAATTCGAGAGAGAAGAAAACGACGCGTGATTCAGTTCTTCACCTGAATGTTTTCGGATTCTCAAAGGGTGACGGAAGATAATGGGAGCTGCGGGAGTAGGAGCGCCGTCGAGACGCCGCCAGTCAACAGCCGCCACCAGCTGAAGAAGGCGGAGGTTTACGGCGAGGTATTGCGGCGGCTCAAAAAGTCCGTGTATCCGGAAGCTCGGGATATGGCGTTCGAGGATCAGCTTTGGTCTCATTTCAATCGTCTTCCGGCCAGGTCAGTTTTTACCTCTCTTCGAATTGTTGTTTTTTACCCGCGGGGAAATCTCTACGCCGTCGTTTTGCACCCCAAAATTTTTCGCTTCTTCTCGGCTCCTGTGTTTTTTCGTGTGGTTTTAGTGCTATCGAATTTAAATTGCATCTGTTTGGGCCGGATCAGAGTTCAAGGTGATGAATAATTAAATTCGATGCTGTATCAATTATCATTTACAGACTGTGCTGCATGTGTATGATTTTTACTCAAATTCTCTACAATTGCTACACTCATATTTAGTTAGTGATTTCGATAAGATCGGCGATTTGATATTGGAGCATTACAGGTACGCCATGGAAGTGAATTTGGACAGGGCAGAGGATGTCCTCACCCACAAGAGGCTGCTGCATTTGGCCCGTGATCCTGCTAACAGGCCCGCATTCGAAGTCCGTCTGGTACAGGTGATAGGTCGTTGTCTGGATAACTTGTGTGTGTGTGTGTGTTTTCTGGATGTCGTGTGTGGGTGTTATGGTACTTTTGCTCATCCCATTTATGGTAAGAGATTATGTTGAGAACCAGGGACCATTTACCTGAGTTTGGTGGGGTTTGTGTCTCCTTTTGCAGTGGAAAAAGATGTGATAATAGATTTATTGCCAGCCCTTACAATAATAGATATATTGCCAGCCCTTACCTCGGTTATACTTTCAGGACAGTAGGTGGTCCATTGAACTATTATGTTCTGATATTCGTAGTATTTATGATGTCGTATGTTAGAGTTATTGGTATTAATATGGTTTCACTGTAGAGTCCACTATAGTTCAAAAGAACTATTTTCTTGCTTATATTTCGTTGGAAATGGTTTTCGGCATATGCATTTTCACCACATTGTTACACTGTCCAGTTGTGATTCATTGTTAAGGAAGTAGTAGGTGCAGATTTGATTTATGCATTACTTGGGTCAAAGATCATTGGACGTTGCCAACACTTTATGAAAAAATCGTGGTTGGGATTGGGAAAATTAGTCCGGGGGTCAATCAGCAGATGGATTTAGCAATAAAGTTATGTTCCCCAAGAATGTAAGCACGTCCAGGATAAATGATGACTATTATCAATAAATCAAAAATATATATTCCTTCAACATCTCTATCAACTTTATAGCAGTGGTAAACCTAGGGATTAGGAATTTCTGGAATATTTACATACTAGAGCTTGGAGACAAAACGACCTCTGAAGTGATCGGACTTGTGCATGACATGCATGCAAATGATTAGATACAAAGTTTCCAAAGTGCATGGACTTGTCTGCAACATCGTCAACTAAAGATTAGAATAATGCTTAGCAGTTCGGGGGATAAATTGGAAGGTTTTAGAGAATGCCTTAATTATGATCGATTGTAATATAGTAATTTGGAATTATTGGTTGACTGTTGTTATAATTTATTATGTCTATTTAGGTTTTATATTTACACAGTTTAAACTGTTAGCGTCCTTCTGGTGAGATCTTAATCTGGAGTTATAATAGCCACTGGTGTAGTTTTATAGTATATGTGATCACTGATCAGGCAATTAACTTAGTTTCGAAATATAATGGTCTTAGGTGTAGTTATATTGTATTGTATGTGATCAGCAGTTAATCTTTTGTTGATGAAGTTTTGCTTTCATATTCCATTACTTGCCTAATCCTAGTCAATGTAATCTGTATTTCACAGATATATCATTTTATAAATCAGGTTTTGCCTGTCTCTGATGGGAACTCAGGAGCTTCACCCAGTTCAAGTTCTCCATTAAGGGGAAGGTATTTAGTCATATAATTCTATCAATGGGTGTCTTCTTCTTCTTCTTCTTTTTTTCCCTCCCCTAATTTTATTTTCCAATGGATACTTAAAATATTTACATTTTGCGTCCAGCATCCATCCACAAACTGCCTTTGGTTCTTCTCCTAATCTTGAAGCACTTGCACTTCAAACAAGTGCAGAAATAGAAGTTGGTGAGGATACTGTCACAAATGCTAGTGCCAAGATACCGAGGTGCATCCTATTGAGACTTTATGCTCCTTGTATTTAAGTTGTTCCAGGAATGATAATCCAGTCGATAATATTCCAGTGTGTGCATTATAGTCCAACTTGTTCACATCTAAATCTTTTCAGCCAGTCTATAAATTTGTTGACAAATTTCATGATAGCATCCGCCTCCACGTCATACATTCATGTTTATTGATTAATCATTTAATCTACTTCTTTTAATCAATGATGCAGGCCAATGCATGAGATTACATTTTCCATGATTGACAAGCCAAAGATCCTTAGTCAGGTAATGCCACTGTTTTTATCTCAATATGCCCATAATGATCATTAAGTACCTGAGTATGCTATGTAATAAAATGACATACAATTTGACCCTTGACTTAAGTACACAGTGGTGAACTTGCAGTTGACTTCTTTGTTGGCTGAGATTGGCTTAAACATCCAGGAAGCACATGCCTTTTCCACAGTGGACGGTTATTCTTTAGATGTCTTTGTTGTTGATGGTTGGCCATTTGAGGTATCTAACTTATATTTTCACAGCTATATTTTGGTTATTCTCTTTATATATCTCTTCTTGTTTTGATCGATTGAACTGATTCTTAAGNTTAAATTTCTTTGTCAAATTTAGCTTTTTTATTGAAGGTGATCTATTCATAAATATTGACTTCATATTAACTCTATTCGTGTTTCTTTTGAACAAATTTTCCCATTTGTTTCTTTGAATAATGTTATAGTTGCATTATTCGTGTATTATTGGCTCATGTCATTTCTATAATAAATGAATCGTGAAGTTTAGAAAAGGCGTGAAACTTATTTTTCGAGCCGCTTTTCCAGCTCTGCTTGATGATAAACACCGTCCTTACAACCTCTGATCTCACTCAGATTAAAGAGAAGAGTTCTAACTGACTGTTATGAATTTTCAGGAGGTTAAACAACTCCGTACTGCAATTGAGAAGAAAATAATGAAGATTGAGGTACTATTATTCTTCGCATCAGCGATTAAATCTATCTTAAGATTGTCCAGTGAGACCATTAGTCTTAATCTGTTGGTTTGTGCGTGGATTATGTTATTTTTTTATGTTATTTGTCTTTGTTCTTCACCTATGAGTAACAGTGTGAAGGGATGTTTTTGTATTCATGCAGCCTAGTTCTCCCCCCAAGCCACAATCTTTGCCTCCAGTCATTAAGCATGAACAAATAGAGGTCAAATGTGAATTTGATCATCTAACAATACCTAATGATGGTGCAGATGTCTGGGAAATAAATCCTGAATTTTTTAAGTTTGAGTCCAAATTAGCATCTGGTTCATACGGTGATTTGTAAGCATCACAGATGTTACCCTTGAAGCTTAAGCTTGCGGTTGCATTCTCATTAAATTTACTTATAACTTTTTGTCCAGATACAAAGGTACTTACTGTAGTCAAGAAGTAGCAATAAAAATTCTCAAAACTGACCGACTGAATACAGAACTCCAGAAAGAGTTTGCTCATGAACTATATATAATGAGGTTTGATTACTTTAACTAGCATCTCCATCAGCTACGTTTCCGTTTTGTTTTGTTTTGTTTTCTTATTTTGGCCCTTTTTTGCCTGGGTTCACCATATATTTGATCGGCCTTTTGTCAATCATTCAAAAAATTTAGTTCATTATCTAATGTTTTTGTTCTTATGGTCCTCTTACTTTTGTGGTTCGTATATCACATACAGAAAAATTCGACACAAAAATGTCGTGCAACTCATAGGGGCATGCACCAGACCTCCAAATATGTGCATAGTTACAGGTTTGTCTAGCACACACGTGGAAATGTTTTAGATGATATTTTTCCCTAAAAGTGCAAAGGAAACATCATTACTTAATTCTTAACAATCTATATTGTTTTGCCATTTCAACAAGTTTGTTTTACATTCTTTCTATAATTGAAGAATACATGTCTGGAGGGAGTGTCTACGACTATTTACACAAACATAAGGGTGTTTTTAAGCTTCCAAATTTGCTGAAAGTAGCCATTGATGTATCCAAGGGAATGAACTATTTACATCAGAACAACATAATTCACCGGGACTTGAAAGCTGCTAATCTTTTGATGGATGAAAATGGAGTAAGCATCATGTTGTTCAACCTAAGCTGTTCGATTCATGAAAGTCACTTGTATCATTTCTGAATCTTCACTGCGCAAGCTATTACATAAAACATGGCTTTAAGAGGAATAATCATTTTCACTAGATATATTAATGAGGGTAAAAATGACCTTTGGTAGGAAATTTAGGACTCATATTGAGCCAAATTTCAGGTTGTTAAGGTGGCTGATTTTGGAGTGGCCAGAGTGACAGCACAGACAGGTGTGATGACAGCTGAAACTGGGACATATCGGTGGATGGCTCCCGAGGTAGCATCTTTATATGAAATTAGAATTTAGGAGACAGTTAAACATTCTTTCATATTGAGATTTTGGGCTGAAGCTCTTTCTATCTGAACTTGATTAGATTTGATTAACTAATTCTCCTTTAAAGGTCATAGAGCACAAACCCTATGATCATAAGGCCGACGTCTTTAGTTTTGGGGTGGTTCTGTGGGAACTACTTACAGGAAAGGTACTTTTATTTTATATTTATATTTATTTTTATTTTTTCTAAATGTCAGATATCAGCNCATACTCATCCGAAGCTTGTTGAGCTGCTTAACAAGTGCTGGCAGAAGGATCCGACTCTGAGACCCGACTTTTGTGAAATAACTGAAATCTTACGGAAAATTTCTAAGGAGGTCAGTACTTATTCTATTGGCTGGATGATATTAATACACTTAGCTTTGTTGCTTACTTATTTTTAGAATTTGATCATAATTTACTAGGGAAAGGTCTGTTGCAGCTGTGCATGATATTGATATCACATGCATCCCGAATGATGCTTGGTCTACCAACATAATAGCAATATGTATATATATATATATATGTAAAAAATCCATTTCTTTTTTTTCCCTTTGGCCTACGTGTTTATATTTTTACCCATGCTTTATTCAGAAAACATCTAGTAAATCCAATCTAGATTCGTTGGGTGCTCGAGGATTTTGCAGAGGGATATGGCGCTGTTGTATTTAGTGTACGTAAGTAAATACACTTGTGGATGATGACACATGAGATATGTGCAACAGGTCAGAGATGATAAAGAGGGATGGAAGGGGAAATCGAGTCGATTCTTTTCTAGCCTAAAAACTGGACATAATCACTAAAAAAGGAACAAACGTTGTTCGTTAACATATTTTTTGACTAGGGGCTGGCAATTTGGGTTCCCGGTTGCAACACTACGAAACATTGGGTCTGAACCACAGCGAAGAATTACAATACAGTCCAGTGTTAGTTAACCTTCCATTTTTAGTTTGTTGTATTTTACCTCGTGGTTTTTGAGCGACTGTGTATAGTGTTCTTTCATTCAATGCGTGTACTTTAATACGCTGTGTTGAAAACTTTGATTTCTTCATTTTTATTTTTATTTTATTAAATTCTTTTTGCCCATTAATATTTCTTCGGGCCTTGGTTGTCAGCAATATAGTAATCCTTCACTGTTGCTTTGTAGTTTATACTTTTTCCCTTAATGTTATAAAATCATTGCTTCCAAGTTCCACCATTCAGTTTGAATCCATCGCTCATTATTTATATTTATTTTTTCATATATTTGATTAATTACCCACTCTCATATATTTAAACAAAAAATATACTTTCCCCTTATGGAATATAGTTCGGTGAAATTATATCACGTAAACTCTGCTGCAAGGTCCACGTACGTATTTTGTAATACAAAACCTGACTTTTTTATTTTTTATTTTTTTTCCATTTAAGTATGCAGACCCTCATTTTCCTATGATTCTCATGCACGAAAAAAATTCGAACACGAAATTTTCTAACATTTATATATGAGTAGAAGACTTTATTTTTATAACTGGCATGAAGTTCGAAATTCAATTGTATCTTATTTTGTTACGTCCATCCTATATATTTTGTCTAATTATTATAATTTATATATGCATATATAAAGAAAAAGGGTTGGAGGGGAGAATGATTATCATGAGATATAAAAGCCGAATTACAACTAAGATCATGTGTGAGCAATGATTAGAACAGGTTGTAAAAAGAATCATGTCAAGACCAATTCACATATTTTTGTTTGGTTCAACCACCAATAGATCAATGCCCCTTAATTTAAAGTCAATGGTAATTCCTAAATTAGGTCAACCTAATTATCAATTACTTGCTCTTTCGGTATAACATGCATCTGCTCCATCCAATTAAGCTCAAATAATTAAATTTCAAATTAGTTTGCATGATAGAGTTATAGTTCACATTTCATATCCAACCGCAGATGTAGGATGTGCATGTGAATTGTTGGTGAACATGGCAAGTCAGTCGATATAAAAAGCATATTCCTGATTAATTCATATATACAAAATTGTTTTAAAATGTTTAGCTAGCCTATAATATGTAAGAGAACTAAAATATATAGCTTAGGATTATGCAGAATTGCAACATAATACATTATATGGAAATGAAAATTACTGCGAAAGTAAAGAGAAGATAAGATAAGATGTTACCTCATCTAGCACGCAATACCGCTACCGTGCTACGAAATAAACTATTTAGTGCGATTTCAGTGCGAGTTTATCATTTNCAAAAACAATTTCATTTAAATTAGTTTACATGTTATATTGATAACAAATACACTAAAACTTGAACGCATTTGCTTATCTAACATGCCACATCATAAAATCCGAAACAGAAAACTACCAACGGTCAATAATATGTATTTCGAAAGAGAAAGTTTTTTATATATTAAAAATTAGGAAAAAAAAATTGCATATAAAGAGATGTTATACTAATAAGTAATAATATATATTGTGGAGCAGCAAAGAGCTGGCAATATGAAGAAGTTGAACAAACCCAAATTAAATGTTTATTTAAAAAGTCAAAACCTTCATATATTTAACATTTGACTCAAAATATAGACTTACAAAAATAAAAAATGCTACAGTCCCATTATGAAACCATTCCATTGAAATTTTTAACCTTTAGATGCACATGTAGATTAGTGCAGCATGCTACAAAAACATTGGCGGACCTATACAGGGGCCCGTAGGGCCATGGGTTCCTGTAGAATTTTATAGTAATACATAATATAAATATATATATATATATATGGTATATGTATAAATGTATTATTATATAGACATAAAAAAATACATGTTATTATTTATTATGAAAAATTATTTCAATAAAAAATAAAAAAGATATGTTTAGAATTATTTAACCTTCAATAGTATGTTATTTTTTTAAGTTGTGGAATTTATGCTTGTGTTATACTCAACTTCTTGTTTGTTTCCTTTTCCCTCCCAAAATATATAAAAAAAAACAAATATTATAGATAAATGTATAAACTATATAAGGATTGAATCAAATGTGTCTCTATTCAGGGGCGGACTTACATAGGGGCCGTAGAGGCACGGGCTCCTGTAGAACTTTTTAGTGATATAGTATATATATATGTTATAGTATAAATGTATAGGTTATTATATTGACATTAAAAATACATGTTATTAATTATTATGCAAAGTTATTTTAATATAATTAATATAAATGAAATGTTTAGAATTATTTAACCTTCAATAGTATGTTATTTTTAAGTTGTGGAATTTATACTTATGCTATACTTAACTTCTTGTTTATTTCCTTTTCTCTCCCAAAATACATAAAAAAAAAAACAAATACTATACATAAATATATATACTATATATGGATTGGATCAAATGTGTCTCTATTATTAAAATGAGAACGTGAGAGTCAATCCGAGCTATTAAATAAAAAACAAGATGTCTGGTCAAGATTTAATCCTTTTATTTTTTTAATTGGTTACATATTGATTTGACTGTTGACATCCGGCGTTGACCGCTGACTGTAGTTTGTGTACCCGTTGTCTTTAAAGTCTGCGTCCGCCCCTGTCTCTATTCTAAAAATGAGAATGTGAAACTCAACTTTAACTATTAAATAAGAAATGAAGTGTGTAGTCAAGATTTAATCTTTTTATTTTATTAATTGATTAAATATTAATTTGATTGTTGATGACCGTTGACCATAGTTGTGCGCTCCGCTTGCTCATATTTTAATAACATTCCGAATCTCGCTTGCGTTAAACTAACTAATTCATTCACATCTAAATTCACTATAAATACCGCACAAATCTCATTTCCCGAAAACAATACTAACTGCTTCAAAACCGTACAAAGCAATACCGCAGAGACCATCGCCAATTAATAAATTAAAAAAAAAAATATTGAAATTGGAAATGTCTCGATTCTGGAGATCTGCAAAAAATCAGAAGGCCGGCCCGGCCGGCGTCCTGGAGGCGATCGCTCAGTTCCGAGTAGCGGGGGAGGATGGCCGGCCGCCTGCGCGGGTGAAGATCGTGATGAGGAAGGAGGATCTAAAGCAGGTGCTGGAGGCTATCAGGAACGGGCGCAGCGCGGTTAAAGGTGGACCGCCGCCTGCGCCGGCGTTCGAGGAGCGGCTCATCAATTTGATGCGGCGGCGGCAGCAGATTCTGAGGACGGCGGGCCAAGCTAAGGGCCGAGGGCGGCTGGGCGCGTGGAAGCCTGTACTCCACAGCATTCCAGAAGAAATCTAGAGATTAGGAATTAGAAGCTAATCTAGGAGGTTCGGTTTGGCTCGGTTATTTTGGTCTTAAAAAAAATCATTTTGGTTTCGGTTTGATTTATTCCTATTGGGATTTTTGTATCCAAGCATCAATGGTTACTCTTTTAATGGATATGCATACTTAAATACCATAATTTAGAGTATGGTGTAAATAAAAATATGATATTTTTTTTTTTTGAAACGATAGAAATATTATAAATCAAAAGGCACAAATGTGCAAATACACAGCAGTCAACAGCTGAAAAAAATGGAAAGACAGGTCAGAAGACCGCCTAGAATCCCGACTAGCAATGCCAGAAGAAAAAACACACACTCTACCAAACTAACCAACAGCACAAACAACTAAAACAACTACAAGACTCTAACAGAGTGATATCCGAGTGTCGGACCCCAACAGGGTAATCAGGTGACACTCGGGCGCACAAAGTGACACTCGGGCGCACAGAGGTCAAACACACATAACTAACACACTAAATAAAACGAAACTAGACAAAACAAAACAATAACGAGAGCCCTTCCCACTTCGGAGAGCCACACCGAGCACAACAATGGTAGAGTCGCAGCCCAAGATCCCAACCCAGAAACTGCAAGAGAACGCCTAACTGAATTGAAGACCCACGGGTTGGCCCAAACCTCGTCCAGGCGAACAACCCCACTGCCACCCGGAGAAAATTGCACCCAGCCAATCAGTCAAAATTAGCCCAACGATTGCCGACGACTCCGAACCATAAGCAAAGCAGCTCAGCTCATCAATCGACGACAATCGCGCCTCCAAAACACATCCCCGACCCAACGATCGCAGACAATCCCACCTCCTACGCTCAGGCCCAACCCTGCAATTGTCGACTACCCCAAGTCTCGAGCAGCCCAACAATCGCCAACAACCGCACCTCCAAATCACAACATCAACCCTTCAATCGCCGGCGACCACTTAAATAGGCCGAGAAGAAAACAAATTGACCAGATCCCTTTCTCCACCCCAAACCCTAAATCAGAAATTGGGATTGCAGCCCCTTCCAAGAGAGCGCCAGAGGGCCACCGAAATGGAGATTCTAGAGGAGGATCATCCACCCGCAACTCACTCCCAGCACCGGAAGCAGAAGCCGGAAAGCAGGCACGACCGTCTCCCCGGTGAAAAAGCTCCTCCTCCCCCGTGCGGCACTACCCTCAGAAACGGGCTACGAGGCTCAGGAGAGCCACCACTGTGCACTCGTCGCGCTCTACTGGGGAAGGCGATAGATTACCGACGGGAACTGCGAGGAGAGATGAGAGGAAAGGGCGACGAGAGAAAATTTATTTGTATAAGTATTTATTTTTATGAGAAAATACTAGGCTGCAACATTGGGTGGCTTATTTATATAAAAAATAAAAATAAAAATCTGTGGCAAAAAAAAAAAAAATTGTGGAAATGAATCAAACGGCCGGATTTTCATAATCCGTTTTTAGTTTTTATTTATTTTTTTTTATTAATTTTTTTTCCCGTTTTTCATTTTTTTTTTTTAAATGCATTTTTAAGTTTTTTTTAAATGAATATATAAAAACGGATTATAAAAAATAAAAAAATAATAAAAATGAATAAAACGGATTTCAATTGAACTCAAATTAGTACAATCTCGATCAATTATAGTGTAATCGAACTTGAATTTGACTTCAATTGAAGTCGAATTAGTACAATCTCGGTCAATTATAGTGTAATCGAACTCGAATTAGTACAATATCGGTCAATTATAGTGTAATCGAACTCGAATTAGTCCAATTGAAGTCAAATTCGAGTTCGATTACACTATAATTGACCGAGATTGTATTAATTCGACTTCAATTTGACTAATTCGAGGTCGATTACACTATAATTGACCGAGATTGTACTAATTTGACTTCAATTAGACTAATTTGACTTCAATTGGACTAATTCGAGGTCGATTACACTATAATTGACCGAGATTGTACTAATTTGACTTCAATTGGACTAATTGAAGTCAAATTCGAGTTCGATTACACTATAATTGACCGAGATTGTACTAGTTTGACTTCAATTATAGTGTAATCGACCTCGAATTAGTCCAATTGAAGTCAAATTAGTACAATCTCGGTCAACTATAGTGTAATCGACCTCGAATTATTCCAATTGAAGTCAAATTAGTACAATCTCGGTCAATTATAGTGTAATCGAACTCGAATTAGTCCAATTGAAGTCAAATTAGTACAATCTCGGTCAATTATAGTGTAATCGACCTCGGATTAGTTCAATTGAAGTCGAATTAGTACAATCTCGGTTAATTATAGTGTAATCGACCTCGAATTAGTCCAATTGAAGTCAAATTAGTACAATGTCGAGTGTAATCGACCTCGAATTAGTCCAATTGAAGTCAAATTAGTACAATCTCGGTCAATTATAGTGTAATCGACCTCGAATTAGTCCAATTGAACTCAAATTAGTAAAATATCGGTCAATTATAGTGTAATCGACCTCGAATTACTCCAACTGAAGTCAAATTAATAGAATGTCGGTTAATTATAGTGTAATCGACCTCGATTTAGTCCAAATGAAGTAAAAAAAATTGAAAAACGATTTTTTTTTAAATAAAAAATAAATAAAAAATGAATAAAAAATAAAAACAGATTCAAAATCCGTGTTTTCTTGAAACACGGATTTTGAGAATCCGGTTGTTTTATTTTTGTCCACGTATTATTTTTTTTTTATCTAAATAAATGATTCATGCAACATTAGTATTTATTTAATTAATACTTTTTTGTTTTCCTCTCGCATTTTTGTCGCTGGATTCTAATAATAAAATAAATAATTGGTGCAGTGAGTTCTATCTTGCTAAAATGCAGGCGACGGCGTTCATGGAATATAATATATATTTTCTAGTTTAAGATAAATGAATAAATTATTCAATTATTAATAAAGATAAGGATAGAATAAAGCACTAAATAGTAAATAGCACACCAAAAATGTAATGGCTACAAAAACTAGCTCGTATAGTTAGCATTCATAAACAAGAATCTGTCGTTCCTTAATTAGCTGAACAATATCTGAGCTATATTATTAATTTAGGATTTATAAAGTAAAGATTTTATCAAGTGTACATAAATTCGTGATCTTTGATTATTAGTTTTAGCTCTCAACTCTTTGGTAAATGAAGTAGATTGAAAATGTAAAGATTTTATTTTTACAATTTTCTCTATTTTACAAATGTATTATAACTTGTAAGGCTTAATTCGACTCTATCCTTTTAAAGTAAAATGTAAAGAACTATTTAATTCATAAAATATATGAATTAAAATAAAATATTGACATTTTATACTATAAACTAAGCAGTAGAGAGAACCAGCCTGATTTGCCTGACCAGAATTAAAGATTTCTATTTATTGATCATTTTAACATCGGCCGACCAAAATTAATGGTTATGTTATGTCACATGGAAAATCTATATATATATAATTGCTAGCTAAGCAATAAATTTTACCTAATAAATAAAACCTAATAAATTTTACTTATGTGGCAAATCATTAATAAAACCTAATAAATAGAACCTAATAAATTTGATATATGTGGCATTAATACACCCAATCTCATTAATAAGAAAATATTTCATTACATTTTTTGGGTTAATTAAGACAAAAACTATTATATTTTATGTTAATTGATTAATAATTATATTTTTTATTAAATAATATAATAGTTAATATTAAAATTAATAATTATATTTTATACTAATATATGAAAAGTTACATAAAATTATATTCTACACTAAAATCAATATTTTTTTATATGATGAATATGTTTTTTATTAATAAATTAATTTTTTTTATGTCATAGTAAAATTTCTTAAAATCACATAAGCAATTGTTATAATAAATGTAATATTTTTCAGCTAATTAATT